CGGACGCGAATTAATCAGCGGTCGCCGGTGCCATTGAGGCCGAGGCGGAGCGGCGGGGGCGAGGGCGCCTGGGGCGGTGCGCGTCCTCTTAAGGCACTGGCGGCGGTGGCGCGCAGAATTAATGGGCGCAGCGGTCTATGCGGCAGATGCGGTTGCTGTCGGGGCACGACAATAGGCGGAGTACAAGAGCCACGGTTTGAAACCCAGTAAGAGCACGTTCTCTAACTTTCTAATTCAGCATTATGCCAGTTTTGCCTGCTGTTCCATGAATAATAGAGACTGTCTAGGGGTGAAATTGTCAAAGATGGAATTTCTATGAATGGATGTAGACTTATTAAATCGCAACCTTCAAGAGTTATTCCTGCTATTCAATCAATCCTGTATCGTTCTCATACTACGGAATAGGAATAGTCAAAAAATAGAAATTCTACGCATCCTAAAACTATTTTATCTAGCATTGCTCAAATCCTCATTTCAACCCATCTTCAATGAATACCGGGTCATTTACAAACTCTAAGATGGAAGAAATTGGCTCAGAATTCCAGTGAAGAAAAAATATATTTTTGAATGTATTATACATGTGTGTATATTCCTATACGCAGAATCATTGCATTTACTGTTCATTGAATACTCGATATTATGAGGCTAGCTCTTCGAACTGGCTGGAAAATGACGCTTGGACTTACGACGAGAGATAGTGAATGCAGCCTGGCTTCTGCAAACCGTACGTAAATCATTCGGAGTCTACTGTACGCCAGTTGAACCTCCGCTGACCGGAATGTGGCAAATAATTGCATTACCAGATTTGAGGTCGTGAGGCACCAATGAAAGGAGCGGATGGTGAGATTAGAACACGCGCAGGCGGATGTTTCGAGAATGCGGAAAAAAACTGTGGAGTAAATAACACGCGTAACTGGGAGGAGAAGGAATAATTATTGCGCCGTGAAGGATGATTTAAAGCTTTCCACCTAAGTGGTTCTCGATACCAATGGATGATCGAATAAAAATAATAAATAATCATGGTGTAATTGTCATAGTTAATGCTTATTTTAGCGAAAACATCATTTTATATGATTTTGTGAGTTCAAACCTGATAAATTGCAAATATATGAAGTGCTGCAGTTTATACTCATTTATAAAGAAAAATAATGTATTAATCATTTTTAGCAAGTATTTTGAGACAGAGCATTCATCATCGTATTTGTGGTTATTGTGGTAAGTTTTTATAAAACGTCACTACAAATATTTAATTTGTATTTATTTTTTCAATAAATATCTATTAGTACGATTAAAACTAATTAGCTTTGAGAAATTTAGTGTTCGATTATGTTGTAACAAGGCCGAATTATACGAGAAAACTTTAACGAAGGTAGAGGTAAGCTCGAAAGAATGCGTAGTAGTAGTTACGTTTAGTTACTATCTAGCTTGATGGTACAGATGAATTAATCTCCAGTAAGAGAGAAACTAATCTCTATAACCGGTAATGTTTTCTACCAAAGATTTGGTGTCCCATGTGAACAATTATTTATGCCAGACGCTACAATAATTTAAAGGTACCTTAGGAGGTGAAGAGGAAACTTGTAAAATGTGAACTTAGTCTCAGGAGGAATTGTCGCAAGAATCAAGTTAAAAAAGTGTTTTAGTAAATTTGGCACGACAAGTGGTTTTGTTAGGACTAAAATACAAAACAAAACATATATATAAAAGCAGAAGTAAAGTATTCAAAATATATTTTACTTTCTGGTTATTAAAGACAAATAATCACAAAAATAAGATATTTAAATATGATGGAAACGCTTATTTATTATCTTTATCTCTGCATCCATTATACCTTTCTGGGAAAATTCTCACTAATACTGTTCAAAAATTCATCCCTAATTAGATTGCGAATTCCTACTTACAAGTCCAACCGACAACTTCCGCTATTCGTTGGTTTGTTCACATGCACTTCTTGACCTACTTCTCGCCAGTTTCATTATCGAGAACGACACGTCAGTTTAACCGGCCATTGTGGTAAGAGGAGAAGGTTGGCGACTAAAATTACTACGCGAAAATAAACTCTTAAAGGGATGAGAAACGTACTAGTTGGCCACGTTGACTACTTACGTCAGGAAATGGGTGTCTAATTATTGAAAAATTTGATACGAACATTGATGGGAAGGAGATAAATTGTTTTGAAAACTCCAAGATAAGATGGTATCAGAATTTCTGCTAAAGTTTGTACGAGTGTTTTGGGATATTAGACTTGTTCGCAATTTCACAGAGATGTGAATGTAGCCCACGTCTCACAGATCAAAATTCTACAATCATTTGTCAGGAAGAGGGTATTACTAATACAAACCAATGTTTATCATATACTTGATTAAACCAATGTCTTTAAGTCTACGATGTTGAGAAAACCCTTTTATTTTTCCGAAACCGTTACATATGACAGTATCGTAGGAAGCTCTCGGTCATGTGCCCGGACGGCATAAACAAAAAGGTTTGCCGGGCTTCGAAGTGGGCTGAATGAGTTGCTGAATCACACATCTAACAAAGTCTTGAAGGCTGGAAAATGCTGTTTCAAAATACGTTGTTACAAAAAGGTACGTGGCAGCTCAAAAGCAATTTTTCCAGACCTCGAATATTGCAACGTTGAACCATGACTGCCAAAATATGCAGAATTTATTTTACTTATCTTGTGAAACAAACACTCTTAGGATATTCAACAATAGTGTTCATCCACCTTCTATACATTGCTTACTTTTACCGTCAACCTCAATGCTTCGCCTATTTCTCCGAAGAATAATGGAAGAAGATCGTAACTCAGCTGAGATATTTTGCGTGAAGTGCAGAAAATGGACTCATTTATCCCGCCTCGAGAACCGTGTAAACGGATAACCCCTAAACCCCATTACTAACAATAAAGATCCCTGTCGCAGGTCATGGATCGGCACCGTTACTCTCCTATCTTATTAACTCCGATTGGTTTCTTAACGAATGGGAACGTGCACTTAAAACTCCGCTAAATGAAATATTAATGACGCATGTTTTGTAATCAGTCGGAAGTGCTGGCTGTCTGGTTTTAAACAAGCTCCTGTAAGCCACGAAGCCTAGTATTACTGCATTGTTTGAGGCAAATGCCACTCCTCCTAACGCCTTCCATTGTCTACTGAAGTAACAGGACCCAATGCACCCCGAAAAAAATGAAATTGAAGGCAATGAAGGTTTATGATGATTCCCCAGTTACGTTTCATACTTTTATTTGATGTGATTAAATAAGTATGCCTTCACCGTTTTTAATTATACTATATTTCCATTTACATTAAAATACACAATAAATCCATTTACATTAAATGTACACAATAATTAAATTATTATGTACTTTTTCCTGATCTTCGCAAGTTTGTACTTTCTAAATAATCGTTATATTCGTATGAAAATAAATTTTGAACTAATCATGTATTTTTTCATATTTTTTATTTTTAAAATATTATTTTTATTGAAAAATCTGAATTTACAAATTCTTGACCGTCTCAATGTTTTAAGAGCAAGAAATTTCTTACTTTCATAGTTAGCAACTGCATTTGTTGTCCCTTTGTTCTAGGGACGTTGAATCAAAAATTGGCAATTGACGCACTCAACACATTTAATTCTGAATACAGTGTCTTCTCCTAATATAAGACATAGTTGCGTAATAACTGGTTTGGTAGGTTGCTATTGCATTCTTGCCAAGTCGATTTACAAGTTTGAAAGTTATACCATCAGAATAAAACTGGTTTTCGAACGTTATAATGAACGGCAAGTGAATCTGATATTGCGAAACATTATTTTCTTCTGCATCTGACGAGATTCAAGATCAAGGTAATTGACATATAATAATCTACCTATAATGATCGTTCTTACAATATTGATTCTTTTGATTTGATTGCATCTGGTATTTACAAGTGAACTTTACAGATATTTTCTCGTTACAAGGAAAATAGAAATATGTTATTTCCTAGAGTACTGATGATCTAAATAGATAGTTATGTAATATCTTGATTCAAATTGTCGATTCACGTTTATATTAATATTACTTAAATAAGATAAGTATTAATATAGTTAATAAGATAGCTAAATAAACAATAATTCATTCATTATTTGAAAATGAATTTTAAATTTCTATTACTAATTTTAGTAATCATTTCATGAAGATAAGGAATTAAACTATTACACAATAAAAAGTGAATGACATATCTTACTTTTACCGTTATTAACAGCTAGAATGAATACGTAGGGATGAAAAATAGTGTAAATAGGAGACACGTTCATTCTATATGTTTTAATGAGCAATTTTAAATTTTATTCAATATTTAAATTAATTTACACTGCTATTCCCTTTCAATGTTAAATTATGAATTTTTTTAGAATGTATTGTAGGTATTCTATTTAAAAAATTAATCACAGCCTTCTGAAATATTATGCATCACTGAAGTAGAATATGATTTAAATGTACAGGTTAGAACCGTTTTCTGCCGCATGTCCTATGTAGGACCGTAAAGTACTTTAGAAACTTGAGATGTCTACTTCCTTTACTGACTATAATTCGTGTACCTAGAACAGCATCCTAAGGGTTAGTAAGCATAAAAACGCATTTAACTATTGCCAAGTTAGAATCGTATTGATTTGAAGTGTAAGTACAAGAAATAGATAACCGTTTACTGAAATCTACAAGTTCGTATAAGACACGAAAATAATGTACAGATATTTTTCTGTATGAAATTATAAATTTTCGAAAACTGATATGAGAGTTCTAAGACGTCTATCATCTCCAAACAGTAACATCGGTTTGACAAAAACGTATGTCGTCACGAAAGTAAACTCAAACCGAGTCTACAACCTCTCAAGTCGGGAATAAAAGATATGTACTGTCTCAAACTACTCCAACACGGAAATATGTGTGGACGGCCAGGAGAGAAGCGTCCTGACATTAGTGCGAGATTGTGTGCGTGTGCGTGCGTGTGTGTGTCAGCGCTTACCCTCTTCGATGCCCCGCTGCAGCTGCGTGCCCTCCATCTTGGGGAAGTCGATCTGCACGGTGTGCGAGTTGAAGAAGCGCGCCACGCTGTCCAGCAGGATGTTGTCCAGCTTCAGGTCGCGGGCGTCGGCGTCGGCGGCGCCCCTCGGCAGCGCCGCCTCCACGTCCGCCTCGGTGAGCGACCGGCCGGCGGGGGGCGTGGCCGCCACCGCCGCGGCCTTCTTCACCAGCACCAGATTGTCCGCGAGCGGGATCTGCGCGGCGCGGGCCGCCCGGTCGAAAAACGTGATGGCCTTCATCTTGAGGCACCCGCTCAGGCCGTACTCCTTCCGAGCGCAGTCGTTGTACACCTTCATGAAGACGCGCATGCCCGAGCTGACGACGTCGTCACCCGCGATCGACACTTTGACGTCGTCGTCGGCCCGCGCCGTGCCGGCCGCGAGCGCGACCAGCACCAAAAGCCAGGGGCGTACCGCCAACATGCCGACTGCTGAGGACTGCTTCTGAGCTGCACTGAACCCCACACACGGCCCACCACTGACTGCGTACTGCTGGCTGTACGGCACGCCGCCCGCTTATATAGCCAATGGACTGGAAGGCCCGGAATCTCCGGTGCCCCCCTCTCCCTGCCCCC